GACGTAAGTGCAGGCCCATCTTCACCCCCTGCTTCACCAGCCCGCTCTCCGTGCCCGCAGGAGGTGAACGAGCTACGGGAGCTGAAGCGGCTGCACCCGGAGCTGCCCGTGCTGTTCATCCGCGTGCCGCTGCTGCCCGAGACCTTCAGCGACGACCTCCCCGAGTCGGAACAGCACGACATCCTGTGCAAGCTGCGCGTGCTGCCCTCCCCCGTCCGCCCCGAACAGATTCCTCAGCAGCAGCAGCAGCAGCAACAGCAACAGCAGCAGACGCCCATCATTCCCACGGGAGCCGCGCGGCAGCAGCAGCAGGTCCCCGTCAAGCTGTTCCGCACGCTCTGCGATAACCTCGGTCAGTGGAGCAGACGTCCTCCTCCTTTTGCGCATTATCATTATTATTAGTTAGTAGCAGAAGTTAGTAGTAGTAGCAGAAGTAGTGTAGTAGTAGTAGTAGTAGTAGCAGAAGTAGTAGTAGTAGTAGTATAGTAGTAGTAGTAGTAGTAGCAGAAGTAGTAGTATTGGTAGCAGAAGTAGTGTAGTGTAGTAGAGAGTAAGTAGCAGTAAGTAGCAGAAGTAGTAGTATTATAGCAGAAGTAGTGGTAGTATAGTAGTAGCAGAGTAGTAGTAGTAGTAGCAGAAGTAGAGTAGTAGGTAGCAAAGTAGTTAGTAGTATAGTAGTAGCAGAAGTAGTAGTATTGGTAGCAGAAGCAGGTAGTAGTAGTAGTAGCAGAAGTAGTAGTAGGAGTAATAGCAGTAATGTCATTGTTTTTTTTTTTCATTATCACTTTTATTCATTACCATAATTACTTTCCTACGATCATTAATTATTTTTTCTTCCGTGATTACAGCTATGTAAATCTGGCTTCCCATCTTGTCCTTTCGTGATTTTTGTTCCTTACGTCTCACATATTTTTCCTGCTTTCATACCCTACGTTCTCTTCTAAGGTTATCTTTAGAGGACACAAATCCGTATTTCTTTTCTTTTCCTTTCTTTCTATTAGTTGATTTATGCCCCAGTAAGATTTTGAAGTGTTTTCATATTCGTCGTTTTTGTTGTTTGTTTTTCTTCAAGGATAATTAAACCTAAATAAATCTCCAATAGACCCTCGAGGCTTGACACTCCGACACCAGCATCCACTTATGGATATTTGATGCTAATTAACACTTTGGCCTCCGGTCTTTACTATCCATCTTCTGCTGATCTCCTGGAGCGATGGTGTTGTCCTTCAGACGTAGGGCGAGGGCTGAAAGTGTGCCCGGAATATTACTGGTAGCATCGATAGCAAATGAAGTGCTGGCGAACAAATAGCAGAACATGGTATTCAAAAGAAGGGGTAGTCTCCCTGTCCTGTTGCACCCCCCCCACCGCGCCAGATAGGTTTATAGAGTACGTTAGGATAGACCCTGGGCTACTCAGCGTGGAGGAACCCCTGCCCACACGACCAATAAATGTCTTATTTACATTTGAACTAGATCGCCGCACTCCGTCTTTAGAACATACCGAGTGTTTTGTTCATCGGAAAATCTTCCTTGGTTATGTGATTGGCATTAACATTTTTTTTCGATTTTCTATGCACTTTCCTTGGTATATATCGCCCCTGTATTACTTGTGTCGTGTCGACCTAGGAAGTGAAATCCGAGTTAAATTTCTACATACGGAGAATACTGCACGAGACGACCTGTTGGTGCGAATTGCCGTAGAAATTTCTTTTATTAAGAAGAGTTATATTGTCTAAAAACATCTGGTTGTTTCTCCTGCCAGGATAGCACTCAAAGACGCCGTTATTTTTGTCTACTTGCATTTTTCTTCTTTTCGGTGTAAATGATAAAGATGCACTATTATGTGTACTTTTCCCTCCTCTGCTTCTCAGGATAGCTCATACACACACATAAGCATACCCTTTCTTTCCCTCTTAGTTTACCTCACCAAGATACATCATATCATAGTTGTATATATACCCTTTTCAAGTTGCATACATATGCCTCTTCCTTCCCTCACACGTGACCTCACAACGACACATGAGTCACAATACGTTTTTTTTTTTCTGTCTCTCTCGTGAAGGTTACCTCACAATGACACCGGCGCCGAAGAAGTTCCGGTGCCGCCTGGTGGAGCATAGTTACCGAGTGGACAGCGAACTTATCGACAGCTTCGACTCGTTCCCCAACGTTGTTCCGTACATAAGGATGATTTTGCAGTCACATCTCATTCACACCTCGACGCTTTTGAACCAGGTGAGTGGCTCGACCCAGCGCTTCGGGTTCTCTGATCCTCTGACAACAATAATTACTTTGTAGTCATAGGTGTTATGATTGCTATCGTTGTTAATTCCGATTTCTAATTAGTATTGATAATAATAGGTGTATTTGTGTATGATTTATCTTGCAGCTACGGGAGAAAGATGAGAAGACAGGGTGCTGTAACAATTTTTTTTCATTTCCATTTTTATCTCTTCTTATCTTTTACGATTTCTTCTATGACGTTGTTTTCGCTCCCACCGGCCTCATTTAACGCAAGCGCCGTCCCGCACCCGCAGGGCCACAACCGCTGCATGAGGAAGTTCATCCTTTACGCGTTCGACATGGCGCGCGAAATCCAGATCACGCCCAGGAGGATCAGTTACGCGCGCGAGAAGGAGGCCGAGCTCTACGAGAACCTCATGGCCATCGCGTCGAGCAAGCAGGACGAGATCCGCAGCGTCATCATCGACACCATTGCCAACATGTCCGAGGATCTGCTGGAAAAGGCGGCCGAGTACGAGTTTCAAGGTGAGAGCGCGGGGAGTCGTGTGTTCGTTTGCGGGGTCGGGTGTTCGAATCCGTCGCTCCCGAGAATGTCCCCCGAGTTGTTTTTTTCGAGGATTGTGTGTCACCTTTGTATAAATTTTATTGTTTATATATGTATTTCACGATTTTATTTTTTTTACATACACTGGTTAGGAAGAGTAAGCAAATGATATAACAGCCTAAAACGCTTTAATCACTCTTTGTCAATCACGTACAGTGAATCATTAAAGATGCATGCACTAATTTTCTATTGTATGAGTATTGTAAAGATGATAATGATTGTTGTTTTTATTATTATTGTTGTTGTTGCCATCACCATCATCGTTATCATCATCATCATCATTAGTAGTAGGAGAATTAGAATTATTATATTGGTGTGCATGATCATTGTTTGCACATCTCTCTCCCGTCTGCCATCAGAGGTGGAGAACTTGCCGACGAGCGAAGTGGTGTGCGCGAGGGAGGTGCGGATATGCACGGGCGAAATCCAGGAGCTGGTGATCGGGTCCCTGAACGCCGAGGTCGGGAGGCAGCTGGTGGATCGCGTGGATGTGATGCGCGAATCCTACCTGGGCACCCTGCAGCGGTGTCTGGAGAGCCTGGAGAAGGACTGCCGGGCCTGCGGGGAAGATCCGCATATTGGCGACGCGCTCAAGCAGGTACTGCAGTGGATTTGGAAAGGGGAGACATGCATGCGGCCTGGCTTTTTAAATTGAGCGAGGCTCTTCCCTGTAAATATTCTTATATACGGACATGGATATACGTATAAATAGATGCATATCTGTCTATATCCACATTTATCTGTCTATCTGTCAGGTAGATATGCATGTCTAGACTGATATGCATATATTTATATGTATATGCATGTGTTTATAATATATATTTATTGGGTCAGGCCTCATGCAATTCTAACAAACCAACCGTTTGTGGTTGAGTTTACGCAAAGGAATGCGCTATGTGATAGTGATGCTGGTGATATATGTGAATTCCTCAAAGAGGTTCTCTTTCCTCTTTTAGGCCAGATTTTGTAGTGACTTTTTATCAGTCCTTCCTTAATTCCATTATTCATTAAGCTCATTTTGGACTACTGTTTCTCTATTTAATGGAGAATGAAGATAGAAAGCTATAGCTTTTTGTTTGTTTGTTTCCTTTTTTTTATGCCTTACTTTACCCTCCCTCCTTTTTATGATAGTTGAAAAAACATACATCATCCTCATAATTTCTCCATAGATGGTTAATGCAGCCTACCAAGTGGAGGTGACTGTGACCACCTCTTCCTCCGTTTTGCGTTCTTTGTGGGAGAAAATGAAGCAGTTGGTGGCCGCCATGCCTGGGAGAACCCCACCTATTATAGATGCAGAATGGAAGAGAAAGGTCGCAGCTGATATGATTGCCAGTCTTTCGGAAACAAAGCTGACAAAGAGTATATGTGCACAGGTGAGGGGTATTTTTTATTAGTTGTGTGGAAATAGACTTTTATTTCTTTTTCTTTTTCATTATCAGTAGGGAAATTGTGCCTCATAAGTGAATTTAGATAATCTACCTGTGAATTGTGAATTGATGAATGAACAGTATATGTATGTACTGTCAGTTGTAGATGTGCAGTATCCATCTAAAGATATCAATCAGAATTACCGATACTCTCCATAATTCTGATTTCTCCAAATATATCTTCAAAATCACAACTTCTGAAAATCATAACCATTGCCCCTTCACAACCTCTTGTTGCAGTTTCGTGAGAGGTTAAAAAGTAGCCACGATTCCTTCCTTGGGAGCCTCAAACAGTTGGAGACTCAGCTCACCAGCCGCCTAGAGAAAACAGAAGAACAGCAGACACGTATAAAGAAAATTGATGCTCCCAAGCTCGCTCGTCTCTCACTTGAATCCACATCTCTCAGGGATATGATACTCTTTGGTCAGTGTTTAAGACTGAAACACGGTCTCTTTGGGGAAGAACACCACAGATCAATGTTTGCCATATTTAGCAACCTGTAACTACTCCTTTGAGCAGCTGTAAAATGTAGTCCATCAAACACAGACATATAGTTTGTGTTCCTAATAACTTTTTTAATGCAATAATGCCACACAGTCTGTATCAAGAAAATCCTTTTAATTTTACAGGAATGCCAAGACTGGACCGTGAGCTGGGTAGAGGTCAGTATGGGGTAGTGTACGGCTGTGAATCATGGGGAGGCTTCAGGCCCTGTGCAGTGAAATCTCTCGTGCCGTTGGATGAAAAGCACTGGAATGACCTAGCGATGGAATTCCACTACACCAGGTTAGTTCATATGGCCTTCTTTTCATAGTTCTTTATGTTTTTTTCTTTTTTCTTTTTTCATGCTTAGAGTTCACTGTACAAATCAGGTTCCTATGATTATCTCCTTTTATTGTGTTACCAGTTATCATGTCTTTTATTATGCTTTGCATGTTTTTCTCAAGCTGTGGTTCATCCCTGCTACATTTCTTTTAAGTAATGAAATGTGTATGTCACTTCAATTAAAGATGGAAAATAGTAAAGAGAGATGGATATACAATGGCACAAGAAAACAGAGTAAGAACAGAAAGAGCCAGTAATAGATAGAGGATGAAAGATTAAAAAAAAAAAAAAAACATGGTAGAAATAATTGCCCATTCCCTAAATTTTCACATGGTTTTGCAGAAGTGTTCCAGAGCATGAGAGGATTGTGGCCCTGCGAGGAAGTGTGATTGATCACACTTATGGCCAGGGGGAAACTCCAGCTGTCCTATTGATAATGGACAGGCTCACTCGGGACTTGTACTCTGCAATCAAGCATGGTCTTGATTGGCTAGTCAGACTACAGGTCAGAGATGCTGGTGTTGAGCTTTTTCATATAAGTACTATATATGTATAAAATCCTCTTGATTCTAATTGTTTATATATATTTGTAATTTGTTCTTTCCTTCTTTGTAGTAGTTGTCTCCCTTATAAAAAAGAGAAAGGGCATGAAGAGAGGAAACTGAATAAATTTCTTTCTTTACAGATTTCTCTTGATGTCACTCAGGGTATTAGGTTCCTACATTCCCAAGGTCTTGTGCACAGAGACATAAAACTAAAGAATGTACTGGTAAGTATTTCCATCTCTGTTGTTGACAGTAAGTAGGTCAAAGAGCAGTATCTCATTATTCTATGTAATTTTTTTCCCCACAAACTTTTTGCTTGCAGTTGGACAGAAGCAATCGAGCCAAGCTGACTGATCTTGGTTTCTGCAAGCCAGAGGCAATGATGTCAGGCAGTATTGTTGGTACTCCCATCCACATGGCTCCAGAGCTTTTCACTGGCCACTATGACAATAGTGTTGATGTGTATGCCTTTGGCATACTCTACTGGTACATCTGTGCTGGCCATGTAAGGTTACCACTCATCTTTGAGCAGTGCCAGTCAAAGGACCAGCTTTGGACTTGTGTTAAGAAAGGTAATTGGATTCTTAGAGTATTTCCTTGGATTCATGATAGAGTAGATCTTTGTATGGTTTATGATAAGCAGATGATAGTTGGTTATTATTGTTGCACACAGAAATTAGTGTGTCTAAAAGGATTCATGCACTAAATACAATTAAAATAGCTTTCAGCTACTATAGATGCTTACAGAGAAACTATATCTTGTTTTGTTTCAGGTGCTCGGCCAGAAAGACTAGCGCAGTTTGACAATGAATGCTGGGAACTAATGCAAGAATGCTGGGCTGGGGACCCTGCCAAAAGACCGCTGCTTGGTGATGTAGAGCCCCGGTTAATGCGTATAATGGAGTGTTATGCAAAGAAACAGCTGGAATACAAAGAACAGTGGAATGATGATCAACATAATGAAGACGATAGTAAAGTTGACTCAGCTATAGATGCTGTGACAACTGAGCAGTGTGGCTTCATAGGTTAGTGTAGTCCAAACTCACTCCTTGTGAGGGTGATCTAAAAAGGGTCTCAAGTGTAAGTGGAAAGATTGCAGGTATTTGTAAAAATTGTCTTTTATATTCTGTATCCCATGTGATTGTAAAGCATGTGTGCCTTTAAATTATAATAGTGGTAGTGTGAAGATATTTAAGCAGACCTAGGTGCCCAAAAGTCATTTGGAAAGATAATTTAGAAAAAGGAAATGCCAGTGTGATGGACTTTTTACTAATCAAGTAACTATTCTTCAGCACAGGAAGAGGAAACACAATTGAGCAGTATACAGATGTACACCCTCAGTAGTATTCTGTGGCGGTGAGTAGTGTCTTGGGTGTAGTGACAGATAAACTAGTGCTTCAGACAAGGCTTTGGATGTTGCATTGATCAGCAGCTTTGGTAATAAGAAGGTCAAGACAAAAGTGAGAATATGTGAAACTATCATTGTTATTGATATTCTTTTTTGAAATAGAAAATGGAGCTTCCGCCATATTTAACTAAACATATCCTAAAGTAAATTATATTTAGAGGTAACTCCTGTACTTATTCGGTAGAGTTATTGCAGAAACTGATACAAGATGATTGCATCCTGTATCAGTAAACAGCCGAGTGTGCCTTTCGTAAAATTCATTGCCAAAAGAGCTTTTTCCTAATGGAGTGTGTGCCTTTAGACTGAATGGAGTGTATTAATCATGTCACAGTGTTGAAGATCTGCAGAGCATAGATCATCAAGAAAGATGAGAAGATATTGATAAATGTGCTTATGTTTTTTTGTTGGTTTTGCTTGCTTTTGAGGTCATGTGAGTTTAATAATGTTGAAAATCTCTTTTTTCATAGTTACTACTTAGGAAATGAAAAGCATACAATTTTAACAGCTAATAGCATATGGATTTGTGACTGGGAATACATCATTAAACACCTTGCAGCTTGAATTTAAGGGTGAATATATAATGGTATAGCCATGAACCCACTGTTCTACTCTCTTACTATCATGTATGATAGGTATTTTCATTATGTAATTCCCCCTCCCCCCCCTCTTTTTAGGGCGATGATGATCCCGTCTGTGATTGCCTATGACCTTGATTCCCCACAAGGGATAGGGAATTTGGATATCTAATGACTATCTGTCCAGAGTATTTATAGTGTAAGTAGGAACTGTACTTGAATGGGCAGAATGTTTAGTAATTGATTGAACAATATGCTAAAAACTGCATCCTTTCTCTCACATCTATCTTCATCTTTCTAGTTGCTTTTTTCCCTCATTTTTCTCTTTTCAAGAAAAAGGTTCTCAGCATCATGAAACGAGAAACATCCACTCAGCAAAGGGGAAGCCATAACCAGAAATATAAAGATGTGATCTTAAAATATGAGAGAGGGAAAACATTAAAAACTTTTAGAAAGTTGTCACGCAATTTGAGATTTGTATGAAAGCACTGTCAGTGTTTCCTTCTTTTTCCATGCATATTTTTTTAAGCTTCTCGTAGCCAGTCTTTGGCCTGTGGGAATTCAACAGATATCTGTATTTAATATGAGCAGAAGTTAAAGGGAGGAAAATGTTAGATCGGGAGTGTTTTTTTTGTTTCTTTTTTTGAAAAATGAACTCAAACTAAGAAATAACATGGTTTATAGAGGGATGCATGAATATGTTTATATTTTTTCCCTCTTTCTCATTCGTGTGTGTGTGATTTTATAGAACCATGTCAGAACGTACATGGCCGCATGGCTTAAGCTGTAAACCAATTTTTTTATGAACTGTTACCACTTAAACAATAACAGATCAAGTTTATGTGTAAAATGCTTTCATGCAGTTCAAGTCATTTTGGGTAATCTGTGCCCAGAAGTGTGTTTATGTTTCCATCCATCTGTCATTCCATCCACCTGTTCTATTTATCTGTTTAAGGATTATAATTTGTATTTAAGCATTTCACATATAAACTAGGTCTAAAGAGAGAGTGTGTGTGTGTTTGCACATGCATGTGTGTGTGTGTGAAAGAGAGAGAGAGAAAGAGAAAAGGAGATAGAGAAAATAAGCGGAGGAGAAGGAGAAAATGCATGTGTTTTTGTCCATTATATTGTTATAGGAGAATCTGGAACATATGTATAAGATTAAGTTATATGCTGTTCATTCATGGTTTTAAAAAAAAGTTAGAACGTATCACTCACTAAATGTTCGGTGAGTTTTTGTACTAATGTAGTATGACCTCTAGTGCCAGATTGCATTTAGAACTCAGATGAGATACATTTACTTTTTTACTTGAGTGTCAAATAAATGCTGTATTATAGATAATGAAAAGTTATGATGTAACACTAGTGATTTTGCTTTACATAGGAGTAGTTTTGAATGTGTTTCTTTTTCTTGTAGAACAAGGTCATGAGTCTCTTCATTCCATGCTTTTTGCCACTGAAATAGATTTCCATGTTCAGCATCAGAAGATCTCACATTAAGATAATATTTACACTGTACAAATGATTTTAAAAAGAAATAATTGGTTGGATAGGATATAATCCCTGATAGAATTACATGTTGAAAGCTTCCAAGCTGGGAAAGAAAAAAAACGTTTATTGAAGAGGATAAGGATCAATTACAAGATGAAATGTAGACATCTTCAGCAAATAATAAGGTATGAAGAAATGAGTTTCATGTCATATGTCTTGGGTATTCATTATTGTATTTTATTTTTAATAGAGTATGTTTGTTTTTTTTTTTTTTCTCTCAGTTATATGAACATTCAGATTTATTCACAAGAAACATGTTCTCAGATTCTGGTCTGTGTTGCCAAAAGTAAAAAACCTTTTTCTTGAACCACTCATCCTGCATGGTATCTAATCAAGCCATTGGAAACCAGGGCAAAATGCCAGGTGACGAGTACCCTTGCCATGAACAATCGAGCATACTCTAAGGTTTGCACTAAACAATGACTGTGGTCAGTGAGGAGATGCAGCTCTAATGCATAGGCTTTTTTAGCCTCATTTCCTCAAAATTTATGAATGTTGCAGCATAAGTGCAAATTATATATCCTGTGCTTCTGATTTTTCACTTAATTGCTGATTTTTTGATTTGAAATAATAGATTTAGTTAAAGAAATCATGAAATTAAATAGGTAGAAACAACCTTTTCAATAGAAAGGATATTTCACCTAACAAATAACAGTATAATTATTTAGAGAGAATTTTAACCTTGCTTTTATTAAGAATGACTGCTTGATAGGTAATGAAAAAAATATATGGAAAAGGATGATAAAAAAAATGGAAGTTATGTAGCTGGGAAAAAGGAGGAAAGATTAAATGTGTTGAATTTCTGGAAACTTTTTCC